AAGAATTAGCTAGAAATTTCTTCAAAAAAATGTATCTATAACATGTTTACTGTTTTCCTAAAATTAGCTCTATTTTATACTACATTTGTAAAGCAACCAGAGTTTCCTCAATATTAGACATAATAGAGTTAAGTTATATGTGATTTTAATAAATCGATCACACTATGATATATATATATAAATACAATTATTATTAATCAACTATTTGAGCATATCACATCGTCCATAATTATATAGAAGGAATGTGTTATAACTTGTGTGATCCGCCAATTGTTATATGTTGAGACGTGCGGATTAGAGGACAGTTATATATTGAGGGCCGCTGAGTAGAGGACAGCGATGGCAGAGAATTATCGATCGGACCAAAGACGCGTAAATACGTAAGAACAGCCTAGATTTCTGATTGGCCCTGCTTCCCTGTCTAACCCAGCCAGTTGAGTCCAGAACGCAAGTCTCAGCCTCTGTGATATGAATCATTATATTTCAAACATACTCTGTTTATATACCAAACAAACAGACTACATCGTACCATAAAATAGAAAGTAACATTTGTACATGATTTGACCTCCAGGAAATGACACAAATAAATATTGACCAACGGGATAATGACAAGTTGGAAGAATATTGACTAATGGGGAAATGAAACGTTGGATGAATATTGACCAATGGGGAAATGACACCATTTCTCATTCAGGAATAGCATTAGATAATTTCTGGGGTATTTTCTGAATACTCCAACAGAATGTCAGCTTCAAAACCTTGTTTTTACGATCATATTATTACTTAATTTTGATTTTATTATCAGTAGAATTCTTAAGATTTACCCATCCAATATTTAATGAATGAAAAATAAAGAATTCGGCAATTGTATGGTTCAATTCAATGAAAAAGAAGCTCTTTACCTATAGTCTGCTGAAACGTTGAATTAATGAAGTTTTTTTAAAAATTACCATTACGAACGAATTTATAGCTGTATAAAGTTCGAATCTCCCTACCTTTTTCTGCATCACATAAATGATTATAAATTCTTCCTATTATTAAACATAATAGTTAGCATATATATTAGAACAATTTTATAATTTAGTCTATCTTTCTAGGTCTATTTCAAAATAGTAATGGTGGATTAGAATTTTTTTAAAAATCCATCCAGTTCACAAATATCTGGAAAAAAATGATCACCAGTACTAATAGTTATGTTTACCCTGATGTCTAAGAATAATAATAATCAGATGTTGATATTACAGAGATTCTACTTCAAACAAGTGGTTTACGATTATTATTTATTTAAAAACTATTACATACTGATTCGGTAGCGCTTGTTGAATGATTCAGTCTACTGAATTAAGATAAATTATGATGTAAGATGTTTATTAAAACCCAGTTTTTAAGTACCTAGGGAAGAAAAACGTAAATAGATCAAAATAAATTTTTTAGAATAAAAAGTTAACATTAACAAAACAGTTGCCAAGTAATTATTTTAAAACATTGAATTATCAAAAAGTTGAGGGTAAATCAAATATTTGAATAAGAAAACTTTGAAAAGAATAAACAAAGGAATTTTGTTACTTTAAATGGGAAAATTTGAAAGAAGCATGTATTATTTTGAGGGCTACTGAAAAAAGTTTGTTCACTAACTTAGTCATAGATCAAAGTAACAAGCTGATATTTAGAATTTTCAGGTCTTGAGAAGAATGTTATAATCTTTTAGGATTGTCTCAAAATCATAATTGTTCTATCAAATGTTAACTTTCCTAATAATAACTTATGTACCAATGGTTTTTGTCACTGAAACTAGGATATCTTAAATAACTGTGGTGAATTATACATGTCAGTTTGTTACTTGATACGATGGATACTACTATGAGTGGAACACAACCTTTGTAAGCAGAAAATACGAATATTCTTTTAACGTATCACAAAAAAAAATTAAAAAACTGATCTGAAACAAGTCAATTATTTGCAATAAGTTAGTATGATAAGTAACTTAAATGTTGACCAAATCGTAAAAGGGTTTCAAATGTCGAATACGATCTTATGAAACTGTCTACTTATTCTAGACTGATAATCAGTATTAGTCTGATAATAAGTTATATTTTAAACTTCTTTAAAATTTACTCAATATATATTCCAATGATTCATTCAAAGTTTTCATGACACTGAGATATTATGAAAAATTAGCTACATTTCTGATTGTTTAATACTGTTATCTGATCAGTTTACCGGTTCAATCCTATTCAATTGAAAGTTTTTTTTGTATTGACCATCCTTATTGTTATTATAGAATTAATTTTTAAAATTACCTAAACTTTTCTGAATACTCTAAATAGTATATAATGTTGATTGTGAATAAATTAAGAACAATGAAAGTACCCAACATATTTATTCCAAATACATTTGACCTGAAATTTTATACATTTGTATTTTTGAATAAATTTAAACAATGCTACGATATTACTGATTCAAGAATGTGTCAAATTCAGATAATAAATCTAAGTACTAAGCTGAAATAGAGGTGTTTAACTGCTAAAACTTATAGGCAACATTATACTCAATAGGTTAAACATAGCCTTATTACTTATTATGAACTACGAATTAATTATACAAGTAAAGACAAGCAAGTAACAGTTATGTATAATTTGTAAATTCATTAAGTAACTAATATGTACATGTCAAGCAACTTTTTTAAAAAAGGCAAAAAAAGACACCTTAAGGTTTGTTCGAATACATCTCAAAGATTCTACAAATACATGAATATAGCAATAGTGATTTGTATTGCACATTAATTACAAAATGTATAGCATTACATTTATGCAACATATAAAATCACTGATCAGTTTATAATTGACATAATAACTAACGAGGATAAACTTGGCCTTTGTGTTGAAAAATAATTCTGCTTTTTTTTCAGATATATTTTTAAAGTAATGCTAACCAATAAGTCTAACTTCGTATGGAATACTTTTAGATAGGATTAGACTTCGCTTAAATAATCTCAAATTTTATACTTCTCAATACTAAACTTTGACTAGCAAACATTTTCTTATCATACCGTGTAGCAGAAATATATTTTACATATTTCCTAGTTACCATACCGCTTACATATATATAAATGGTTTGCTAAACTTTCATAATTTACCAAATGTTTCAGGCTCTGGTTATGAATGCTAAATTTGAAGGTATCACGATTTCATTTAATCTGCGAACGAGAGCAAAGACTCGGTGACAAAAGACCAATAAACTAACTACTCGATGCGTCCCAGGCCCGCTAACTAGAAGAAGTCCAAAATTGGAATGGGGAAGTATATTCTGCAGACAGCCAGAGACGAGCGATCACAACAAACACAAATCAAAACGTATATATACAACACAAAACCGTCCTTGGAGAGAGCTACCAAATAGCATAATAAAAGCCGCAACGGACCAATAGCATTTAAGATATTTCTCAAGTGGAAAATAGTGACAAGTGCGGTTTTGGCGCGAAAACAAAGAAATTTAAATTTTCTAAATAAAATTACAAAGTTAGAACCTTTTCCAAGTGAGTTCTGGAAATCTAACGTCCCCAACACATCTCCATTTTTTAATAGAGTACTTTCCTGAGGTCGACTTGCATTTTGACTGTTGTTCGCCGTTTACATACAAGTTAATACTGTGTAATACTTACCAATCATTTTATAATTAATTATTTGTAAATAGCTATATATATACTATTACTACTTCTACTTCGGAGTAAAAACATATACGATAAATTAAAAATTACGATAAGTTAAAAACAGGAATGAATTTTACTGAAGTAACAAAGAATTCGGCTATCCAGCATCATTTGATATTCAAACATTTTTTTAGTTTATATCATTCTATAATAGAAATTAATTTCAAATTGAATTGAATATCAAAAAACATTAAATTAAATCAAAAAAATAAACATCATAACATACAAAACTAGTATTCTTTATAATTCAGAAAGTATCTAAACAATTAAATATTTTTAATAGTTGAATTCATGAGTCAATTGAAGTTAGATCACCATAGAAAACCTAAAATACCTAATTTCAATTGATTTATGAATTCAACCATTACAAAAACTACTATAATATTTATAAAACATTCACTCTGAAATAAATATTCTATAATATTAATTCATTACTATTTATAATTGAATATTATGTTTTTGTTTTCTTTATTATAAAATGGGTTTTGTTGTTTTGTATTGTGTTTTCTTTTTGGATTTAAAACTGCTTCAATGAGGAAAAGTAAAATTAAACAAATCTATAAATTATTATAACGGATATAGAAAAGGGAAAAAAAAGATTTTCTTGCCAAAAATCCTCAATAAAATAAAGGAAAGAAAATACCATAAGCTGGATGGAAAACAACAACGACAACAACAACAGCAACAAAATTTGAAGATAGTTTTCATTACAAATATATATATCTATTATATAGAAAAATAAAGAGGTAAATTGCATCAGTGAACAAATGTTTTATTCTAGTTTATTTTTTTAATTTCTCAAATGAATTTTAACACCTACTCATTTAAATTATACAAATCTTGAAAACAAAGAAAAAATATTATTGAAAAATTATTTTCATAAAAAAATTAATTGATGAGACTATAATTTATGGACGACTTTTGAGCAATGCTAAACTGACCTTGACAGTGCCCACCTAGTAACTAAGATCAAATGAGAAGTATAAACTAGTGTGAGAAATTAGAATTATGATTTACAATTAATGGTTAAGATTAACAATTAGATTTAGAATTTTCATCACAAACTGACATCACCTATGATTCCATGAATCTATTTAGCTAAATGGATGAATGAATTTCACTCAGAAAATTTAAAACCTATCCTCTCATACCTGATTGATTTGTCCACAAATTATAGTCTCACTGATTTATTCACTTAGAAATAAAATAACTACATTTATTCTTAAAGAAAAACAACAACAATAACGACAACAAAATACATATTATAATGATAAGAACACTTATAACTTACCCATCTAGAATATGGATGATAATATTTCAATGATATATTATATCCTGATCCTAAAATCTCTTCATGATTAAATAAAATTAAATTGATTATTAGAAAAATAATTTTTCTCAATTTAAATAAACTCCAAAATGAATTAAATAATTCAATGAATTGCATGAAACTGAATTATTGATAACTATTGTTTGTTTTTTTTTGTTTGCTACATGAAAATATCTAAATACATTTTATTATTAATTATGATAAATAATAATAGTTAGAATGATAGTAGGATTAACTTTTTATTTGTTCGTTTTTTCTTGTTTTTCTTTTTTCTTTTTTCTTTCTTTGAAAACTGAAACTATGTCAAGTTTTATATTGACTATATTACTTGATAATCACTATACGAAAAAATAATGTAAAATTCATTATATCTACAGTATAAACTGACTTCATTTTGTTTAAAACAAAACATATATATGTATGTATGTGTATATTTATTTATATGATAAAGTTAACACTTATGTCAGTTAATTGAATTTCAATTGTACTATACTACTCGTATATTCAGTGTTATTAAATCTAAAATGAAATTTTAATAGTGATGAAAAGTTAATTAATAATTAACCAGTTATGAACCAATCATTTATGAATAATAATAATAATACTAAGACGGATTACGGTACATTGCATATATACAATCCTATAATGTTTTACGTTTGACAATCATATATATATATATATATATATATATATATATATATATATAAGGGTAAGGATGGAAAATGATTAGAAAAATATACATACATTAAATTCACTGGATAGGTAAATAGATAGATAAATATAAACAAAATAAATTTATTATAGGTAATTTAGATTTTACTAGAAATTGACCTGTTTAATGACAAAATGTATCACGTGATTGTTATATATGTACAATGTAAAAGGATAAATATAACTTAGACGAATTTGTAATAATGTTATCATTATGAAATTAATTGTAGTTTCTTCCCTCTCTTTTTCAAAGAAGCATTCCAAATACGACTAATCAATGGAAGATTAGTGGTTTAAGATTGTATAACTGAAAGTTTTATGAAATTATTTTATTTTCAATATTTGTAACTATCAGAATGTTCTTAGTGATATTTTTTGATCAATTCAAGAATAATAATATTCGCAAAATACGGTGAATACACTATATTTGAGATGATGGAGAAGATTTGTGGCTCAGGTGGATGATTTTGATGAAGTTTTGTTCTATGAGCTGAATGGTTTGGTCGTGGAGCTTTCATTGTTCTTCTGAACGACATCATCAGCACAAACTTCAGATAGAAATTCGAACACTTCACTTCTATCTGAAGTTTGTGCTAATGATGTCGGTCAGAAGAACGATAAAAGCTCCACGACCAAACCTTCCAGCTCAGAGAACGAGACTCTATCAAAATACACTATATTTCATTACATTATCTTTAACCATACCCAAGCTGAAAAATTTCTCTCCGATTTGAAAATTGATAATAACAAATAGATTGTTTGGAATTAGTTATTTTTAACAGGTTTTTGGTAATTCTATAGAGTAATAATTCTAAATTATTTTAGACTATATTATTAAGTAATATAACAAATATTCTATAAAGATAAACAGGTCGTATATGCTAAACTCACTAAACTTGAACTACTATTAATTTGAAAAATAGTGGAAGAAGAAGAAAAGGTCAAAATGCTTAACTTCTCTCTGTTACCAAGAAAGTTATGGATTAACCACAGACTCTTTTTGAATACAACAATAAGGTTTATAACAGTTCTCTGCAGTGATAACAATGTGCATGACATTAAAATGTATACTGAAGTATATCACAGCAAAAATGTAAATGGTACTTTTTGTAAAGTAAATTCAGATAGTTTAATAAACAATAATTGCATTATAAAACCTGAGGATTTTATACTTTTATATTAAATTGGTCATTATGTTCATGTAATTAAAAATTCGAATCCCACTTGAAGGATTGTGGATGCGCACTGTTGAGGAGTATCATACTAGAACAAAACAGCCTACCTTAGATCGACTCATGGATTTAACTATTAAAATAAGTCATTAGTCACTAGTTTTATGTAGAAACGTGTTCAAATAACTTTAAAAGTATTAATCATAAATTATTTTAATTTTAAATATTATCAGCTTTAATTTATTATTGCCTATTCTTACAGTCTATTTTCTACTTCTCCAGTAAAATAATGAAAAATATTAATAGCTAAAGCATTATTGCACCACCACCCCTTAAGCTGATGGTGAACATCTAGACTGCCTTAAAACCATGGTACATGCATTGATATAAGGTTAAAAACTAATGAGAATAGGATGTGTGTTCATGAATTTGTAGTGCATGTGCCTCACATTGTTCACTAAGTGTTCAACTTCTAACATTTTCCTGTTCAATTAATTAGTGGACACTGTATATGAAAACGTAATTCTCAATGAAGATATAATTTCAAGCTCGAAATTTCACTTTTTTTGCTTTTCATCGTTTGGCAAGTTGCTATGCCCCACTTTAGTTTGCTTATAGAAGACAAATATAGATGACATTAAATTAATAAAATAAAGTATCTAGCAAAAAACTAAACTGATATTAGCATCTATGACGTACTGAATATGTCAGATATCACACTTCTATCAAATATTTGAAAAAATGGTTATCTTCAAAAAACCAATGTTAGGAGTTAGGGTAAGTAGCTATGGTTAGAACTTTCATCAGGAACTAACATCAGCTATGATGCATTTACCCTAAACTTCATATTTCTGTTTGAAGTCTTAATACAGTAAATCACATATCTATGTTCCCTTCCTCCTAATTGGTTAAAGAGGTCAAGATCTGAAGGTCGTTAGGCAATAAAGCACGGCCTAACTGAAAAAATAACATAGATGTGTTTAAAAATAAACTGATTTTATTTACATGGTCGATGACTTGTCCAATAATTTTAATTATTACATAAGAATCCTGTATAGTTCATGGTGTATAATGAACATGAAATTATTAAATAAACAAATATGTAGTGAGAAGCTCGTTTTCGTTAATCTTGATTATAAAGTTGTATAATTATAATTTTATCCATGTTTTTCTACCTAGAAAGACTAAAGTCTATTTTAGTAGACTGTTGCTATAAATACATCAACTGTAAACAGAGTACATAGAATATTCTGACTTAAAGGTACAAATAATCTCCGAATAAATTAATAAAAATTAAAAACCTAGTAATTACTAAACCTGATAAAGGATCAGGATAAAGCAGTCTACATAAGTAAGATGAATACAATACTCAGTGATTATAGCAGATTTAAGAAATCGTCTTCTAAGAACAACCCCAAAGAAAAGACTGAACGACAGTTATCTTAATCATTAAATGGTCTGAAACAAACTTATACACAACATTTAAACACACGAGTACGGCGACATCTAGATTTTATGGCCAACTGATAGTACGAGAAAAAGGTTTAGCTCCTCACTGAGTCGTATATATGATCAACTCACCTTACTATGCAACCACAAAATGGCTAGTTGAACTTCTAAAGCCTCTACACGAAGTAGTAAAACATAGTGAAAAAGGTAGTTTTGAATTTGTTGGTAGAATAAGAGATTTGAAGGTGAACAAGAAATTCATCATATCGCTTGATGTATCACCTTCATTTGCAAACGTGCCTATCATAGAAACAGTTGATTTCATATGCAGTGAGTTACAAAATCGAGAAGTGGAAATCAGCATTCCGGTCTCCTCTTTAAAAGAATTAATACTCAGATGTAATATCAATAAACAATTGTTATTCACTAAATAACTTGCTATGGGATTAACATCCGGCCCAGTCCTAGCTCATTTCATTCTGGAAAAATTATAAAACGATCCTCTAAAAAAAGCTATAGGTGAACTGGAATTTTACTGTTGCTATGTGAATGATACATTTGTATTTACAAAAAACAACAGCAAAGCTCACAGCTTTCCAGAAACATTTAAATGAGTCTACCAAGCAATTACAACAATGGAAGAGCAAAAGTAAGACACCACCTCCTTTCTAGACGTCCTATTGACGGGAAAACCAATGGGCCCATAAGAAGAGGTGTTCATTGTAAACCAACCACATAAATCTAATGTACACATTTTTCTAGCTGTGTCCTATTGCAATCTAAAAAACTTAGTCAAATGTTCGGCCCACAGAGCTAAAATTATTTGTTTTGAGATTTTTCTTAGAGAAGAACCAAAAACTATTCAGGATTTATTACGTAAGCAAAAATACCCATCAAAGTTCTCAACGATACGTATGTCTGTAAATAAACCTAAAGTAAAATCATTGACAGTACGAAAAAAGCCTATATTCTTGAAATAATAGTTCAAAGGTGATATATCCAGCAAAATAATAACTCAACTCATACAAAAGGCCAGCTAATAGTGATTTCATGAAATAAAGATGAAGTGCCTAGTTCTTTTGCTTCTATGTATATTTACAATTCCAACTTCTCCCGTAAAGTACACCTAGACAAATGCATCATCGTATGCCTCAACATTGCCCTTTATGGTTGACCAGAGGACGAATGAATGTAATAAGAAGCTCTATCTTGGTACATCGAGTCAATACTCGTCACCAAATAGATAGAACTTCAGCATTCAAAAATACTTACAAAATCTCACCAAATTTACTCTATAGTTTTAGAATCTGACTGTTACATGTAACAGAAACTATAGGTATACATATCAAAAACCTAACCTTTGTATATGGAAAAAGCTTAAACAACCTTTGAATCTACCCTTGCCTTCTACTAAGATACCATTACATGTTTCAAAACTTTTCTTTTCCTTCTCTTAAAACATTTCCCGAGCTCCGACTTCAACATTATAATTTATAATTCTAATCTTACATAACGTTTTTATTAATCATATTATCTGATTTTCACCGAACCCATCCTAACAATTACTTTTCAGCAATTTCGCAGATAACCAAATACATTTTAATTATGTAACTATCTGTAATGAATAAGTGATTATGAAAATTCACTTTGGTTTTAATCTTAATTTTAATTTTCAAAACTCCATGTAACTGATGATTATTCTGTTAAACTGACTCACCAGCATCTAATTGGTATCGACTTTTTACTCACTTATAAAACATAAATTTTAGTGTAAAGACTTGTTGAAGAATTAATGGAAAAAAAATATTCCGTCGCTCGACTTATCCTTTTTTTAATATTTTTAATAACTAATAAAATTGAGTAACAAAGTACAGAAAGATAATTTTGTCCTGAACGAGAAGTTTCACTATTTCTTTTATGAGAAGATAAAGAAAAATGACATCAATTCAGGTCAGTTGTTTTTTGAATCAATTCAATTTGAATTTTGTTCAGCGTGACAGGTGTAAATTTTTCGTTCAGTTTTTCATTTCAGGTGAACCACATTCAATGCGCTTTTGTAGTAACTCTATCTATTTTCCCTTTCAAATGATGTTATCAAATGTGTGTAAAATTCAGTATATAAATGTTAGTGTATTTTGGCCAAATGTGTTATTCTGAGGATGTGCTTTAACAACATGCTTAGAGATATATTTTTGTAGAATTAAGAGAATTTCATTTGCATCAGGACATCAGACATAACAGTTTTCCAGTAAATCTGAATAAAGTACAATAAAAGTACATCGCTACAAAAAATATATTTTTTTTATTAATTTATTTACCA